TCTATTTCTCGTTTGTTTCCGCATTGGTTTGGTGGTGCCTTGAGGATTATGGCCGAGAAAGAAGGAGTTGTGGGCAGTACTTCCGGCGTGAAGACCGTCCAAAGCTTGAATATCCACTCAATGAAGATTGATGTGGAAAAGTTCAATGGCACAAACAATTTTGGACTTTGGCGATGCGAAGTCATGGATGCGCTCAACGCGCAAAATTTGGAAGATACGTTGGAGTTGGACGGGAAACCGGACAACATTGATGAGAAGGTTTGGAAAAAGATGAATCGAACGGCGTGTGGTGTGATTAGGTCTTGTCTCACTCAAGATCTAAAGTATGATGTGATCAATGAGACTTCTGCAAAGAAGATTTGGGAGATCCTTGAGAGCAAGTATTTGACCAAGAGTGTGGAGAATCGCTTGCATTTGAAGAGGAGGCTTTACCGCTTCCAGTTGAAGAAAGGAACCTCCATTGGTGATCACATGAACCACTACACGAAGCTTCTTGCGGATTTGGCGAATGTGGATGTTAAGATTGAAGATGAGGACAAGGCGTTGTTGCTATTGAGTTCCTTGCCTGACGAGGAATATGAGACCTTCGTTCTTACTCTTATTAATGGGAAGGCATCTCTTTCGTATAGTGAGGTCACCGCTGCACTTGTGAATTATCAGCTTCGAAAGAAGGATAAGGAGACTTCGTTTGAGCCGGTAGCGGGGGCGTTGGTCGCAAGAGCAAAGGGTCCAAACCGTAGTGGGAGGTCGCAGTCTAGAGGGGCACATCTTGGAGTTCGTAAGAATCAATGTGCCTTTTGCAAAGAAGATGGACATTGGAAAGCCGATTGCCCAAAGTTAGTTGATCGAGCCGGGAAGAATAAGGGAAAAGCTATTCAAGCTTCAGAGGCGAATGTTGTCAAGGCTAGTGGCAACGATTCAGATTCGGATTCTTCGGGCTACTCGTTATCTGCACTGCCGTCAGTTTGTGTTGCCTACTCTACAGAGTGGATATTGGATTCGGGTGCTACATACCACATTTGCCCTAGGAGGGATTGGTTCTCCAGCTTTCAGGAGTTGGAAAGAGGGGATTTCGTGCTCATGGGGAATGATCACAAATGCTCTATTGGTGGTATTGGTACTGTTCGGATCAGGATGAGTGACGGGGTGATTCGGGAGTTGGTTGGAGTGAGGTTCGTTCCTCAGTTGAAGAAGAACATCATTTCACTTGGAGCTTTGGAGGCAGCTGGCTATAGGGTGACCTTGGCGGATGCACGCTTGAAGGTTACATTTGGGTCCATGATTGTGATGAAGGGCGTCAGAAGAAGAAATTTGTATTATTTGCACGGAAGCACGGTGATTGATAGGGAAATGACGACTTCATCAGATTCGGCTAGACTGTGGCATTGTTTGGTGCTGGGGTATATGATTGGTAATACCGTGCATTGGTTGTTGAGGAGTGCTATGACCTGCAGATTGAAGTCCTGTGAGCACATTAGGATGAGCGAGACCGTGGTGGAGTTTGGCACTTCTATCCATCGAGCGAGGGGTCTTTTTGGAGGTGTTCAGTCAGGCATTTGGGGGCCTTCCAAGGAGGCATCATTGGGAGGTAATCGTATCTTGGTTTCCACAGTTGGTGATTGTTCTAGGCATTATTGGGTCGCGACCAGTTCCCGTTGGTGTAAAGTCCTAGAAGTCAACAACAATTGGAAGAAGTGTATTGGCAGAAAGGTAACTCATTGTTTCAGCTTTGGTAGGGGTCCTTTCTTGCGTTGGTGCCGAGCTCACGGCAATAGGAGACACTTCATTGGTGTGGAGACTTTGGGGCGACGAGATGAGATGACAGTTTCGATGGGTCGTTCCTTTCTGGAGGAGGATCGGCGTTTGATGTCGAGCATTGGCATTGGTGTGCGGGCTTCGACATATTTGGGTCATCTTATGCATAGGTCGCCGACTGCTGCTTTAGGAGTTATTAGATCTGGTGGAGCTGCTTCAGATTTTGGGTCGCGTCGGATATTTGGATACCCAGCATTTGGTCACATCGTGGATGTGAGATTGGATCCGATTGCGCGTTTGGGGTTCGGAGGCTCAGTTGATTATCGTTTGGGAGCTTCTGATTTTGTTCTGAGCAGGTATGTCACTTTTGACTCTCGGCAGGTGGAGAGTGTTGATCAGGTCATTTGGATATCGCAGCAGGTGGAGAGTGATGCTACTCCACGTTGGGTGGAGATTACTCCACATACTCCAGATCATACTGCGTCATTTGGGATTCCAGCTAAGGTGACACAGGTTGGAGATCATTTGGTTTTGGATGCAGATGATGGATTGGTTTTGGATTCAGTTGCAGCTGGTAGATATAGTTTGGATATGGCCATTGGTTTACCTCAGGTGGAGGTGTTTGATTTGTCTCAATTTGGGGTCATTGGGAATACTATCAGTTGCAGATCGTTTGGTGATATTGGAGAAGAGTTGCAGACTTTTCTATTTGATTGAGGGCCTTTGGAGGCCGTTTGGGTGAACTACGTGAAGGCTTGATTCCTTGGGCAAAGGATACGTAGGCAGTCATTTTGATGCAGCCGATTTGGTGAGCGACATCGACATTTGGGGTGAGTGTTCACACTCTCATTTGGGTCTCAGCATGTGAGGCATTTGTTTGGTTGGTGTCGGCTCAGTTTTGGGAAAACTTCGCCGAGGTGGAGAATTGTGGAGAAGAATTGGAAAAAGCAGATTTTTGGTCATAAGTCGACTCATGCACAGGCATAAGTCGACTTATGGTAAGTCGACTTATGTTGGTGCATGAGTCGACTTACGTTCTGCTCTGGATTGTTGGTTTTTTGCTCTGCCAAGTCGACTTATCAGGTCTGATAAGTCGACTTATGATCTCTTCTCCAGTTGCTGTTTTTCGCTCTGCCAAGTCGACTTATGCAGACTGATAAGTCGACTTATGACGGGTTTTTTGGAAAGTTCAGGTTCCTATTTGCAGTCTGTTTGGGTTTCTGTTTTGGTATAAATACCAATACGATTTGAGGGTTTTGTGGGGAGAGTTTTGGGGTTTTGGAGCACAGAAAAAGAGAGATCTTTCTGAGCTATTTGTTAGGGTTATTGGTTGAGAGATTGAGAGATTTGTTGGTGAGATTAGTTGGTTCGTTTGAGCGATTTGTAATCTCAATTTGTACTCTCCTTCTCTATTAGTGAAAACCCACCCCCTTCTTGCCCCGTGGACGTAGGCAATTTGCCGAACCACGTAAAACCTTGGTGTTTGTGTTTTGTTTGGTCTTTCTCTCGGCGTTCGTTGGTTTGGTTTCTCAAAGCATCAGTCACAACAAAATGTACCTAATCACAATTTAACAAATTTATACCATCTTTGGTATGAAAGAAATAGGAGGCATTTCACTGATGAGAAGTCCTTGTTTGAGAGTTGCTTGGTTGCTATGATTAAAAGAGAGTTTTTAACTAAGGTGTTCAATGCTCGCATTCCTTAACCACTCTATGTATAGATGTCTTTGACATTTTTGAAGAATTTTGTTTTCGTTTGTTTCCGTTGACCGAGTCATTTCAGGTGTGCTTGAGTTTTACGTTCTGTATATGTTTTTCTCATGGTTCATGAAAATTTCATTTACAAAAAAAAAAAAAAACTTCTTTAAAAAAATAAAAATAAAAAACCAACTTTAGTAGGGTTTTCCCGATATTAGTCCCCTCATCTTTCATATTTTGAAATTAGTAACTCAAATCTTTGGAATTGATATTGGGACCTCTAATTCTTAAGTTATTGTGAAATTAGCCCCTACAAAGAATCCCTAAATTAAATTTAATTATAAAATTTGAGGCGTTTAACATGTATTCAGAGTTTCATTCTGCTTAAAAACATCTACTCTATATCCATTTTCACACATGAGTACCCTCCCCGTGGGCTAATTTAAAAACAAGAAAGAAAAACCAAATAAACATCTGTGAAGTTTATTACCGGATAGATATGGACTAGTGTGCACCCCGTGCAAAGCACGTGCTCCATTTTTTATTTATGCTACAGTAATTCTGTATTTAAACACAAATTTTATAAGTGCTACAACAATATTTTTTAATGCTACAGTATTCCATCTGAGCTACAGTAATAATACTACGATAATATTTTTGAACATTATAATTCCTGTTTATGCTACAGTAATACATCTACATTAATTTATTTCATGTCTGTGCTACAGTAATACAGTTTAATAATTTACTAAGGGGCTGTTTGGTTATTTCCTAAAAAACCAAAAAATAGAAATACAAACCAAGAAAACTCAAAAAGTACAATTTCACACATTTCCATCCCTAAAACTCACCAACAACATCTAATAAAATATTATTTTTATCTAACAACTCATCCATCACATCTAATAAAATATTATTTTCATTCAACAACTCATCCATCACATCCACCACATCTAATAAAATATTATTTTCATCCACAACATCACTCAACTCATCTCATCTCATATTTAAAAATTACTCACATCATCCAATAAGATTGTGACAACTCATCTCATCTCATTAACATTTCATTTCTTTGTTTTCCTCCCAAAAAGCTAGGAAAACAATTTCCTTAAGTGTGAGTCACATCATCCAATAATATAATGACAACTCATCTCATCTATTTTCTTATTTTTAATAAATAACCAAACAAAAAAAAACAACCTATTAGAAGAAATAGGTTTCTTATAATTCATTTCCTTATTTTTTTCGCCAACCAAACAACATCAAAACAAGTTTTCTTAAAAAATCACTCACAACATCCTATAATAAGGTGACAACTCATCTCATTTCATCTCCATTTTTTTGATTTCTTTCTTTTTTTAGCCAACCAAACAATCCCAAAATCTATTTTTCTTAGAAATAGGTTTTCTTTTCTTTGATTTCCCTTTTTTTTTAGGCAAACAAACACGCCCTAATATGAATTGAGACCAAAAACCGGCCCGTTACCGCTTCCGTCATCACTGTCTACACGTGTCGAAGTCTCCAGAGAGACAGAATAAAGAAGAAAAACTCCTGAAAATTCCAAGGAAAAAAAAAAGAAAGGAAAAAAGAAAAAGAAATGGCGAGCTCGCAGTGCCGCGATAACCCACCGACGCGCGCCTCCGGCGCCGGCGAGGGTCAGGTGGTCGACGATCTTGGCGGCCTGAAGGCTTACGTCGCAGGTTCTCCCGGTGCTGGCATCGCCGTTCTCCTCGTCTCTGACATTTACGGTAAATTTAATAGACAACGTTCTCTCTTTTTTTCCCCTTTTCTTTTTTGGTTATTTTTTGAGTTTAATAGGCGAGCCTTGGATGT